GCTACGGGCTAGCCCTTCAATTCAAGCTACACAGCAAGCTCCACCTCTCAGTGGTAGTCCGGCTACAGCGTATCGCGCAATCTCGCTCTCAATCAGATGCTACGCTCTCAATCAGGCGAATATGTTGTTATGTCTCCGGGTTCACGTGTGGAAAAATTCTCCTTGGAATGTGTGGTGTGGATACACACCGGTTCACCCTCTTGTGCAGAGGCTGAAGAGCACGGATGGTTGTGTTCTGAGCATACACTGACTCTATCTGTCGCAAGACCCTCAAGATAGATATTCGACAGGTCATCTGACGTGTTGTAAATGACACATGAAAAAGAAACGCGGAAAAAGAAACAAGTCACGCCTGGACTCGAATTCTTGACGTTTGCTTTGACTGTACCTTGGATGAGACAAGGTCTCTACCCACGCACCCGTTGGTAGGCGGCAATATACCTATATTGCGGTAATTTTTCGGCGGTACTGCCATATGGCGGTATTTTTTCGGCGGTATTGTCACATGGCGGTAAGAGTTTTGGCAGTCGGCGGTAATGCGTTTTTCTGCGGAATAGTTGTCGACGATGTAGAGTTTGGGCTGAAATGAGGCCTCCTGCTACGAAAAGCCTGAAGACTCCACCCAGGGTCACTACCCCCGCGTTGACGTCTTTCGTGTCGTCAACGCGGCCGTCGCGCAAAGAGTAGTACCCCGGTAATAAAATTTCAATACAACACAGTTGGGCGGGCGGGAAGGCTGTTATTCTTACCGTCCTTTTCCCTCCGTTCGGTTTGGGAAGGCTTGTCACAAGTGGGCACTCGTTGCAAGCCTTTCTGCATTTAATCTGTTCTCATCCACGGAACCCCTTCGTGGTTCCATGATTTCGACATTATTTTACTGCGGAATAGTTGTCGACGATGTAGAGTTTGGGATGAAATGAGGCCTCCTGCTACGGCATGGGATCCACCCATACTTCATGTCTTCAATTAACCTTCCCTTGTTGCCTGAATTCAATCCCCAAACTTCTGCATCGATGGTGATTAGCCACATGTATCTTCAAATCAGCAAATAACGCGTCATTATTGTCCTCCGTTACCAAGAGGCCGAGAACCTATCCGTGAAACCTTCTTGCAACGGAAGATCAACAGTCTCCATGTACAACCTCTCCTGCTCGTGTTGTCCCTGAACTCGCCGTCGCTTAGGGAAAACATCCTCCTCTTGTATCGTGGACCCCACATATCGCCGCGCCACCCTTTCGTCTTCCACCCCACAAAGTCCATGAGGGTTTCGACGGCAGTCCCCGCTAGCGACTGGCTCACTGCTCCGTCCACTCTAAATGAAAACATAGTATAATGTCCACCGGCCTCTTGAAGGCGACTCGCTCGCATGTGGGCTTGCAGGGTCGCTGTCATACGCGCGGCAGGCCACTGTGACGACCCCCTCGAACCATCCGCGTTGACCTCGGAAAACAAATACCCTTCACGCATATTCCAGCCCACCGACTTTGCAAACAGAAAAACTCCTGCATCGCGCGCACCGGACACAGCTCGGGACATCGACGGTCTCGCCGCACCACTACCGCATGCGAGGATCTTCTCAGAGCCTTGCCAAAATGGAAGTTGAAAATCATCCCTGTGCCGTCGGGAAGGCTCAAAACTTGCGCCGCTAAGGCGCATGCCAAATCGAACCCTCGTTGCATCGTGTGGAAGGCTGTGACAAACAGCGCGATGTCTCCACTACGAACAACACGCTCTCGCACCGTGTGCAGCTGGTTCAGGGTGTTGCGCATGTACCTTATTAGAGTCAGGAGAAGTGGGGCTAGCATCGGTGTGGCTTGTTTGACGGTAACCCCCACTCTGTGCTGTTCGACTTGCACCCACGAGAGGCAACCACGCACCACCGCACTATCGACTGCAATTACCTCGCTTCTCCCGCTCATCCCATGGATCGGACTTGCCCAATATCTCCGACATGGCACACTTGAGCTTCGACACGAATCCTTTATCCAGTGTTTGGGCTGCGTACCGTTTCGCGCAACTGCTCCCCTTACTACACGACGCTAACGAATTGGAACCAATCTCCGTACAGTCAAGAGCATGGACCACCTTCGTGCCGTTACCACGAGAGTCGAGCCTGCATAGCCAATCATCTACATCAGCAGCACTCTCCCAGCCCCTACACCCATCGGTATGCGCCCGAAGGAACGCATCAAACTTGTCCGCTGCAACACATTTCCGCTGCTGTCCGGCCTTACTCCTCCAGGAGGCTAACACGGTTGCTTTGCGCGCTTCTAAACGGGTTTTATCTATAATCACGGTCGCCCCAGGTATCCGAGGTTCCAGAAGACCCCGGAAGGGCGGCGTCCCACAATGTTGACAGAAGTTGAATGTCGCGTCGTTCTGGGCGTTACACTTGCTACACAGGACTTGCGGTGGCCCCGGGGGGAGTCCTCTCAAGTGACCCTTCTCCACAAGGCTGATATGGCAAAGAGAACGGATACGAACACAAAAATAGTTAGGAAACCACTTGAGCAGCCGTATCATGCATTTCGGAAATCCAATTCCACTGCTCGCATGCCATGCCGGGCATACATAAATTCGCGGAGTCCGTCCTGATGATGGGGGTATCCGAAGCTCCCCCTTCTCGGGAGCACTACCGATTTCACCATCGCGCGTACTACTCTCGGCCAACAATAATCACACACATCCGGCACCACGACGACGGCATGAGCTCGGCACTCCGACAATTGATGAATAATGTGTCCTGCCATAACTGGGGGTGGGAAGCAATATCCGAATGCTGGCGTGCCCAACCCCGGTGTGACCGCTACATCCTGGCAACAAACGTCCACTCTTGCAGTGCCTACGCAATGGTACCGCGAGAAGAATGGCAGCCGAATCGGTAGACTTGACCCCCTCCCACCGTCCGTATACTGGGCGTTGTTCGAAGATGCCATGAGATCAACCGTAAAGTCCCCAAAGAACTCTCGCAATCGCTGAAATGCTACCGGTCGAAGACGAATGATATCTTGTTGTCCCGGTCGCGTAATGTCGTCGGCTACTCTATTCGCCGCTGACGGCACCCATCGCAACGTTAGCCAAAGCTCGTGTTCGACTTGCAGCTGGTAAAGACTGACCAGCATCGAATGTGTGCTAGAATTGCTCGATCGTCCCTTTCGAAACGCGTCGACTACCGCCTCGATTATCTACATCCATCATGAGCTGTTCTCGCTGGGGGTGGTCGCGTAGGATAACCTTATCCCAAAAATCGCAATTATTGTTAAGCCCCCCGGGTACGAAATCTTCGCCGTTCTCACCGGCGTCCCTCACGGGAGCTTTCCACGGTAAGCTTGTTTGCATATCGCCCTTTATCTGATGCTGCAAGTCTGACTCCGTATGCACGCCATCTACGCTCGGTTGTACGCGTGACCCCACCCACTCGCGTTGTTCGTCGGACGAGTCGGGGACATTGGGAAACGTGACTTTTACTTGTGCCTACCGTCGCGTTAGGCGCTGCTGCCAATCGTCGGCGAAAACCTATGTCGAAAGCCGAAAACATCACACATGATACGCATTATATGCAGCGGTATTAAAATGGTGGAAATTGTACCTCGGAGTATAAGAGGAATTCTGCCTTGGTATAATATGTAACATACACGAAATGACGGTAAAAGCGAACGTAGTTACGATGCACTGTAACCAGATGGAACCACCGAGAGACCTGGCGGACGTAAGGAGAGCAGATACAACGACACTCCGGGCTGACTATCTTGCAGTAATGATCGTAGCATCTCCCTGTGTAAACTGTCAGAGTAATAGAGGATGAAAACTGCTTGAAATGATGCAGCCAATGTCGTTGGGTGACAAAGGTCGTTGTATGCCACTCCCTGATGGATCCCGCTCCCGGCCGATCGAAGCATGCCGCGGGGAAGAACGCTCAGGTTGTATTCGTGGTTTAACGTCGTATGTATTGAAACGAAACGAACTTTAGGCAGGAAATTGACATGAACCCACTTCGTCTTATCACGAAAGAAAGACACAGCTCCATATCAGAGCAACGAAACCACCGCGACCATACAACGAAAGGATCATCCGCGTAGTAGATCCCACTCCTCTAGATATACATATCAACTGTGAGTCTTACCCCGGGCATTTCTGCCCACCAAACTAAGCATATATAGAACCGACTACGTTCGGTTGAACACAAACACGGCGTACCTACTCCTCGAATCACCGATCCATACGCACCACAAGACAAAGCACCATTACTCTATCATCATGCATCAAACAGGTTACTCGGTAACTCACCACGGAACAATGGACGTCACTACATGATCAGGGCAAAGCACACGTATTCTACCAACATACGTCCAACATATCTAGGTTACTCCGTCGGCAATGTACTACTGGACATTCGACGTCCCTGCATGATCATTACACCGGCGGATTCGTGCACGCAGCCCTGCGGTGGCCTGCTTCCTTGCGCCGCGCGCAAATCCAGAACGCACATGTTAGGTGCGAATGATTCGGGTCCCGATTGTTCATCACGAACTTCCTGCACGATTCGACCGATCCTGGAACCCCCAGTTCGCCAGCTGTTGTTGTTGCAGAGCTCGGTTCCGCTGGTTCCGCACATCAGCAGCCATCTGGAGCTAGCTCGCCGACATTATACCGTGGGGCGGCGCACCGGTCATGCCACCCCAGCTCCTCTCCCCCGACCGCCCGCGCTCCGACCGGGCGGCCCCGGGGTGTAGTGCCCAACCGCTCCTTGTGCGAAGGACGAGGCAGCTGACGATCTGCCCGGTCGACGAGATTGCCGGGGGCCTTGTTGCGTTACCCCCGGCAACGCCGCGATGGTCGTCGAAACCGGAGGACGTTGTATGCCGAATGCACTCCCCCCCGGCGTGCTCCGTCCCGGCTTTGTAGGGATGCGAGGTCAATGGTCTAACGACTACGGCACGCACGACCATGAGTATCCCTGTCTCTTATACACATCTAGATGTGTATAAGAGACAGCGCCCCCCCTGCCCTCCGTCGTGTTTCCAATCTGAAAACCAAAGAATCCCAAGAAACAAAATATTCGTTTCCTGGTGCCAAAATGAATCACCGTCTGCCCCTTCCCTCGGACGTGTTTTCAGGTTGAAAACCAAAGCATCACAAGAAAAAAAGATGCTCCTCTACCAGTGTCAAAATGAATCGATCCCCCCCTGTTTTCCTCGGTCGTGTTTTCAGGTATATAACCAAAGCAACTCGAAATAAAATCGGATGCGGAAAACGACAGCCCTACCCCCTGCCCTGAACTAGACGGTTGAACCTGTATCCCCACCGGTTGCAATAGATACCACATTTCTGGAAGCGCGATAGAGATGCCAGCCACTATTTTTTAGGCTGTCTTGGCACACCTATCAATCCTCGTCGAGCAGTGTTAAGAGGGTCTGTTTGATTGTAGCCTCGTCTCCTAAACCTAAACGTAGCTTGGTTTCCAGGGCATCGATATTCTTTTGGCGCTTTTTGCTCTCCTGCTCCGCTTCCTTGATCGCCGCCAGCTTGGCGAGGCTTGTGGCGACGCTCGTCATTCCCTCGGTAGCGGCCGTGAGGACTTGCAGCCTTTTCCCTTTGTTCTCGACCTCCTCTGACGCTCTCTTCGCATTCGCCTTGTCAGCCTCCGCTCGGGCTGCCTTCTGCTCCTGCTCCGCCCTGAACGCCGCCGCTTTGCGACGGCTCACGGGGTCACCGTTCGGACAGGCTCGATCCAGAGCCGGCTTGCTCGCGACGGTGGAGTCCTCGTGTACGACCGCGTCCCCCTTTTCGTTCTTGGATCGGGTCGGGGGGCCATCGGAGTGCTCGAGGTACTTCCATTCGGCGGGGCGCCTGTCGCTTCGCCCTCACGCCCCCGCCATGAGGATATACGGGTAGCAGTAGTGACTCGACACCTCCACCTCCTCTTGGAGGTCCTCGCCCGGCTTGGACGCCGGACCCTCTTCCCTCTCGCGCCGCGCGTTGGCAACGGCGATAGCGGCCAGGTCCATGACCGTGTCCCCCGTCGTCACCGGCGCACCGTCATCGGCGGCCATCGCTGCCCCCTGCGTACCAGCACGCGCTTGACGGAGGGCGGCGCCAGCTGCCGGAGTCAACTGCCTCTCTCGGGTCCCAGCGCCAGAAACCGGAGACGCGCCTTCCGCCCCCGCTCCGGTCCCATCCCCAGAAGCCGGAGCCGCGCCATCCGCTCCCGCCCTCGGTCCGCCCCGCCCGCTGCTCCCAGCCCGCATGGCGAAATACTCGCCCTGTTGCCAATCAGGCTTAGAAGGCGCCTTCACGCCCATGGACTCCATGTACATGGCGAGATGAAAGTCGTCCATGACTCGTTGCTCGGTTTCACCGGAAGGCAGGTCCACGTCCTGCACCTCGTTCCTGTACACAAGAAGAAAGCGAGGTACGCGATGTGTGAGTTTAGTACGTCGGCAAGGGTTCCATCGGGCTCGCACAGTCTCGGCCATCCTCTGCGGTCTTTTGTGGACTACCCAACATTATTCGATAGAGGCGAAATCAACATCGGCCAGCGTGCGTGTTCAAAATCACACAAGAGGCAAGGCATACAATCAGCAGACCTCCCCATCAACGCGTGCGACCTCTTTTAGCGTAACACATCAGCAGCAGCCCTCGCCCACGTGTGTACACATGCAAGCACGCGCACATGTCCTATGTCCTGATCGGGCTGGGAAAACACATGCAGCATCCACACACATGCGTACCGAATTCGACTTCATTTTACCACACCCACCAACGGGTCAAGTTGTGTTAAATTGGTCAAGCACCCTTGAGGCAGTTACACAGTGCTTACACCTGTCTCTAGAAGTGAAAGCACCAGAAAATACATTACGTCATGCGCAGCTGTCATCCGTACGCAAGGAAGTATGCACAAGATGCCGAAAACCCTTAGCAGGATGCAGCGCACACCCTTCATGCGACTCGCCGAGTATCTCACGGCGCTTCGCGCTTGGTGATGTGAGAGCCTGGTCCGGTGAGAACCCGGCGTGCTCCGTCCCGGCTTTGTAGGGATGCGAGGTCAATGGTCTAACGACTACGGCATGCACGACTATGAGTACACCCCCCCCCNATCAACCGCGGGAGTCCTCGACCACGTTATTGTTGTATCTGATCGGAGTCAGGACAGCACGCAAATAACACGCACGCACACACCCGCACTCGATATTCTTTGATCGCGGCGTGGACAGCACGCCAGTCACACACACGGACACTATCGCACGCACTCGCAGAAAATTCCCGTAGCCCAACACCAGCAGCCCTCGTCCACCTATGTGTATGCAGCAATCACGCGGGTCGTGGATATATGTGTCCTGCTTGGCGTGTGTATAGCACACAATTCACAACCACGCTACATCTACACTATTTACCAGCAGCAACGAAGAATCTGTAATGCTAAACACTCAGGGGATAGGGTCTGCTGAGAGCAACAACGCCTGTGTGCTACACAAGCTGGTGCACTTACTTGCTGAACCAGAGCGAAGGGCCCTTGGTAGACTCCTTCTTGATTGTCGCGATCCTACCCCAAGCCATCCCGGGACTTTGCATGAACGTCTTCGGGAGCGCCGGCTCCCTCTTAGCTCTCCCGGCTGCGATGGCGCATTCAACGGGTTTTACGGGGAGATACATCAGAGGCTGTGCCGTTTGAACAGAATTGGAAGATTGTAACACAGAATCAGGTAAAACGGTACCTTACGGCGCTGCTGTTTGGCTCCTGCTGTTGCCACGACCGTTTGTTACAATGGTGCTGCTGCAGCATTGGCCCACTAACTATTTTGGGTCTACTGCTGTCTGGTTCGATGACTGAGGCCTGCTTATAGTGCTGCCACCTCAACTGCTGCTGATCTGTCTCGTACCTTACACGCTCAATCAAGCAGGGGACCCTAAACTGCCCATGAACTACCCTGACGCCACCATGCATGCTAGCGTTATTTGTTAATTTTCCAAGCTACAGTATTTTCCTTTTAGGCCATCACCCTTATAGCCATGTTCAATCGCGGTTGCGCTGGACCGGCGCTAGTCCCAAACGTGGAACCACTGCTGTACGTAGTGCCATTTTGTAGATTTCAATAGAGTCAGGGAAAAATGCCTTTTACAGTGCCGCCGGCGTGTGCTTTCCTGGTNTGCCCATGAACTACCCTGACGCCACCATGCATGCTAGCGTTATTTGTTAATTTTCCAAGCTACAGTATTTTCCTTTTAGGCCATCACCCTTATAGCCATGTTCAATCGCGGTTGCGCTGGACCGGCGCTAGTCCCAAACGTGGAACCACTGCTGTACGTAGTGCCATTTTGTAGATTTCAATAGAGTCAGGGAAAAATGCCTTTTACAGTGCCGCCGGCGTGTGCTTTCCTGGTGCTGCCACCACAGCTCTACAGCAGTAGTGCTGTTGCAGCTACCGCTGCTGCTGCATATGGGTCTACTGCAGTATGTACCAAGCACATGTTGACATATCACGCCGTCCATGGACGACAGCTACTCGAACAAATGTTACATGTTTCAAGGATGGTTGCGGTGGTACGGCGTCCCACAGCAGTACATGTGTGCACCTATCAACATATTTACGTGTGTACTTCGCTGCTGTGTGCCGTTTTACTTTCCGCGTGTCGTGTCTATCCTTATAAAAGTACGTCGGCCTTTCAAGCGTTTTGTTCTTGACCTGTACACGGGAGTGCGCGAGTTCGCCGTCCAAACTGCTGTGCACGGGCTAACCCTCTCCAATCCACAGAATCACTGCTGTTGTGTGCAGTCAGCAATCCATCGTGATCGTCTACCCCAACTTTACACGTGTTACGCACCTCCGAGCGTGGTGAAGTAGTCTAGAGCTTAGTCTCCCACCCGGCCGGGAAGCGCAGCGGGTTGTCGGACTCCGTGCACTCCGCGATAGCTCGGTGGCACAACTTTATCCAGCCAGGAAGCGCGATTTCCTGGTAGCACCTCGACACGTCTCTGTCACGAACTTCTTTGCTTTTCTTCTCCGCCTCCTTGACGGCGAGACAAGCCCATGCTATAGGGAAGCACTGCAGGGCTTTCTGGGACTGCTGGCCGAGAGGTGTACCTCCATACGTAGCGCAGAAGATCCCAAAGGAATCCATGAGGTCATTCGTGAGTTCTACTGGCAGTGCCGGCGCTCTGTTGGTTACCTCTAGGTCGAGTGCCATGCTGGTTCGTGTGACGCACTGGACATTAGTTGCGTGGTCAAGCGTTTGTTTGCCTGTTGCGCGGCCCGGCGTGGCTTGGTGCTGTTTGCGGCCTACGCCACTTATTTATCGGGTGAGACTGTTTTGGTGATGTAACCCCCCTGTTTTCCTCGATCGTGTTTTCAGGTACAAAACCAAAGCGACTCGAAGTAAAATCGGATGCGGAAAATGACAGCCCTACCCCCTGCCCTGAACTAGACGGTTGAACCTGTATCCCCACCGGTTGCAATAGATACCACATTTCTGGAGGCGCGATAGAGACGCCAGCCACTATTTTTTACGCTATCTTGGCACACCTAACAATCCTCGTCGAGCAGTTTCAAGAGGGTCTGTTTGATTGTAGCCTCGTCTCCTAACCCTAAACGTAGCTTGGTTTTCAGGGCATCGATATTCTTTTGGCGCTTTTTGCTCTCCTGCTCCGCTTCCTTTTGGCGCTTATTGCTCTCCTGCTCCGCTTCCTTGATCGCCGCCAGCTTGGCGAGGCTTGTGGCGACGCCCGTCATTCCCTCGGTAGCGGCCGTGAGGACTTGCAGCCTTTTCCGCTTGTTCTCGACCTCCTCTGACGCTCTCTTCGCATTCGCCTTGTCAGCCTCTGCTCGGGCTGCCTTCTTCTCCTGCTCCGCTCTGAACGCCGCCGCTTTGCGACGGCTCACGGGGTCACCGTTCGGACAGGCTCGATCCAGAGCCGGCTTGCTCGCGACGGTGGAGTCCTCGTGTACGACCGCGTCCCCCTTTTCGTTCTTGGATCGGGTCGGGGGGCCGTCGGAGAGCTCGAGGTACTTCCATTCGGCGGGGCACCTGTCGCTTCGCCCCCACGCCCCCGCCATGAGGATATACGGGTAGCAGTAGTGACTCGGCACCTCCACCTCCTCTTGGAGGTCCTCTCCCGGCTTGGACGCCGGACGCTCTTCCCTCTCGCGCCGCGCGTTGGCAACGGCGATGGCGGCCAGGTCCATGACCGTGTCCCCCGTCGTCACCGGCGCACCATCATCGGCGGCCGTCGCCGCCCCCTGCGTACCAGCACGCGCTTGACGGAGGGCGGCGCCAGCTGCCGGAGTCAACTGCCTCTCTCGGGTCCCAGCGCCAGAAACCGGAGACGCGCCTTCCGCCCCCGCTCCGGTCCCATCCCCAGAAGCCGGAGCCGCGCCCCCCGCTCCCGCCCCCGGTCCGCCCCGCCCGCTGCTCCCAGCCCGCGCGGCAAAATACTCGACCTTTTGCCAATCAGGCTTAGAAGGCGCCTTCACGCCCATGGACTCCATGTACATGGCGAGATGAAAGTCGTCCATGACTCGTTGCTCGGTTTCACCGGAAGGCAGGTCCACGTCCTGCACCTCGTTCCTGTACACAAGAAGAAAGCGAGGTACGCGATGTGTGAGTTTAGTACGTCGGCAAGGGTCCCATCGGGCTCGCACAGTCTCGGCCATCCTCTGCGGTCTGTTGTGGGCTACCCAGCATTATTCGATAGAGGCGAAATCAACATCGGCCAGCGTACGTGTTCAAAATCACACAAGAGGCAAGGCATACAATCAGCAGACCCCCCATCAACGCGTGCGACCTCTTTTAGCGTAACACATCAGCAGCAGCCCTCGCCCACGTGTGTACACATGCAAGCACGCGCTCATGTCCTATGTCCTGATCGGGCTGGAGAAACACATGCAGCATCCANAAACGGGGCAAGTTGTGTTAAACTGGTCAAGCACCCTCGAAGCAGTTACACAGTGCTTACAACTGCCTCATGGTGAAAGCACCAGAAAATAAATCAAGTCATGCGTAGCTGTCATCCGTACGCAAGGAAGTATGCGCAAGATCCCGAAAACCCCTAGCAGGATGCAGCGCACCCTTCATGCGACTCGCCGAGTATCTCACGGCGCTTCGCGCTTGGTGATGTGAGAGCCTGGTCCGGTGAGAACCCGGCGTGCTCCGCCCCGGCTTTGTAGGGACGCGAGGTCAATGGTCTAACGACTACGGCACGCACGACTATGAGTACACCCCCCACCAACGGGTCAAGCATTATAACGCCGAACCAACCGCGGGAGTCCTCGACCACGTTATTTTTGTATCTGATCGGAGTCAGGACAGCACGCAAATCACACGCACGCACACACCCGCACTCGTTATTCTTTGATCGCGGCGTGGACAGCACGCCAGTCACACACACGGACACTATCGCACGCACTCGCAGAAAATTGCCGTAGCCCAACACCAGCAGCCCTCGTCCACCTATGTGTATGCAGCAATCACGCGGGTCGTAGATATATGTGTCTTGCTTGGCGAGTGTATAGCACACAATTCACAACCACGCTACATCTACATTATTTACCTGCAGCAACGAAGAATCTGTAATGCTAACCACTCAGGGGGAAGGGTCTGCTGAGAGCAACAACGCCTGTGTGCTACACAAGCTGGTGCACTTACTTGCTGAACCAGAGCGAAGGGCCCTTGGTAAACTCCTTCTTGATGGTCGTGAACCTACCCCAAGCCGTCCCGGGACTTTGCATGAACGTCTTCGGGGGCGCCGAGGGGGGCGCCCCCCTCTTAGCTCTCCCGGCTGCGATGGTGCATTCAACGGGTTTTAGGGGGAGGTACATCAGAGGCTGTGCCGTTTGAACAGAACGGTACGATTGTAACACAGAATCATGTAAAACGGCACCTTACGGCGCTGCTATTTGGCTCCTGTTGTTGCCACGACCGTTTGTTACAATGGTGCTGCTGCAGGATAGGCCCACTAACTATTTTGGGTCTACTGCTGTCTGCTTCGTTGACTGAGGCCTGCTTATAGTGCTGCCACCTCAACTGCTGCTGATCTGTCTCGTACCTTACACGCTCAATCAAGCAGGGGACCCTAAACTGCCCATGAACTACCCTGACGCCACCATGCATGCTAGCGTTATTTGTTATTTTTCCAAGCTACGGTATTTTCCTTTGAGGCCATCAATCACCCTTATAGTCATGTTCAATCGCGGTTGTGCTGGACCGGCGCTAGTCCCAAACGTGGAACCACTGCTGTACGTAGTGCCATTTTGTAGATTTCTGTACAGTCAGGCAAAAATGGCTTTTACAGTGCCGCCGGCGTGTGCTTTCCTGCTGCTGCCACCACAGCTCGACAGCAGTAGTGCTGTTGCAGCTACCGCTGCTGCTGCACGGGTCTACTGCATTATGTACCAAGTACATGTTGACATATCACGCCGTCCAGGGACGACAGCCACTCGAACAAATGTTACATGTTTCAGGGATGGTTGCGGTGGTACGGCGTCCCACAGCAGTACATGTGTGCACCTATCAACATATTTACGTGTGCACTTTGCTGTGTGCCGTTTCACTTTCCCCGTGTCGTGTCTACTTGTATTTTTTACAAGTACGTTGACCTTTCAAGCGTTTTGTTCTGGACCTATACGCGGGAGTGCGCGAGTTCGCCGTCCAAACTGCTGTGCACGGGCTAACCCTCTCCAATACACAGAATCACTGCTGTTGTGGGCAGTCAGCAATCCATCGTGATCGTCTACCCCAACTTTACACGCGTCACGCACCTCCGAGCGTGGTGAAGTAGTCTAGAGCTTAGTCTCCCACCCGGCCGGGAAGCGCAGCGGGTTGTCGGACTCCGCGGACTCCGCGATAGCTCGGTGGCACAACTTTATCCAGCCAGGAAGCGCGATTTCCTGGTAGCACCTCGACACGTCTCTGTCACGAACTTCTTTGCTTTTCTTCTCCGCCTCCTTGACGGCGAGACAAGCCCATGCTATAGGGAAGCACTGCAGGGCTTTCTGGGACTGCTGGCCGAGTGGTGTACCTCTATACGTAGCGCAGAAGATCCCAAAGGAATCCATGAGGTCATTCGTGAGTTCTACTGGCAGTGCCGGCGCTCTGTTGGTTACCTCTAGGTTGAGTGCCATGCTGGTTCGTGTGACGTACTGGACAGTAGTTGCGTGGTCAAGCGTTTGTTTGCCTGTTGCGCGGCCCTCCGTGGCGTGGTGCAGCCGCCCAGATGGCGTGCCCGAGGGATGCGTGTATGTGTGTGGGGGGGTAGCCTGTTTTTTTGAATTTGAACCAACCCGCTTCCGCATTCCAACAGTCCCGTGCACAAAACTTTCCTCGTCCCATACCAGCGTGCACCAAAAAAGTTACAGACGAGAGTTCCCGGGCAAAGTTGCATGAAAAGTTTGCAACTTTTCTTGCAACATTTGTGAGCCATAAAAACCGGTCTTACAGGTGCTGGGTATATGTGATGTCGTCACTGGTTTTGTAGAGAGACGCGGCAGAGATGGCGCGGATAACCCGGGTGCCTTAATTGTGTACCTACCTGCATTGTGGAAGACCCCTTCAATGTGGAACGATTCCTAGTCAGTGTCGATGTTTACACTGCTGTGCCTAACACAGATGATCTGGATAGATTCTGGTGCCTGTCAATTGCAATGATGGCTTTGGTTGGGTGTTCGTCTATGTACAACAGCAGCAGCATCACCCCGACTGTCCCGCATTTAACCAAAATGAATGTTTGTGGACAACAGCGTACTGCTGTCTGACGTGGTGTCTGTACAATAATAACACCATGGTGTATGGTACACCAGCTCGGGGCGTGCAGCTGCTGTCTGAAATGCTGTCAGAATGAGTCCGTGGACATAACGTGCTGTTGTAGTCGAATTGTAGTGTGTGTGTGGGCGTGTAGTTCAGTTGTGAGCATGCAAACGTGCTGCAGGGATTGTAGTAGTAGTTGTTATTGTTGTTTCTCACATTTAGCTCTAGTCTATAGACTAGTCCACAAAAAATGGGAAACCCGTGGTCTCAAAACCCGGTACATACGACGCCGCGGGAAACAAAACAAAAATAGGGTACAAACCACTCGGAAAAAGAAGACAAAATGATAGAAAGAAACGAACAGGTATCGCACCGACCGTTCGAGAAAATAGCCCTCGGAAACCGATCAAAAATAAAACGAAGACAAAAATCAAGGAGCACGCTTCCCACACCCGCCCAAAGAAAAAATCAAAGGGTAACGTAGCAGCACCAGGCACTACGCACCAGGGCATGGGAGTAACGGAGCAAACAGGACAAAGAGGCGGCAGATGGGCAGACAGCCAGACGTACAACAACACAGACAGCAGCAAAGCGAGATCAAGGTACCCAACACAGCAGAGTAGGCAGGGAGGTCATGAAAAAACGAAACACAGCACAGAGGCCGAAGGCAATACAAAGGACATACATAAAGGAGTAGACTATCATAGTATACAGCAGGGAGGGAAACAGGGCGCATCAACATCAGCCGAGTACATAGTTCGCCACACGTGCTGCCTCGGCCGCCCTACTCGCTTCTACAGCAGATGTAAGGAACTGGCGGTGGGTCCCATTGAGCTTCGTGTAGTGCTCCGCCCGCTGTTAGGCTCCACGTGGCGCACCCATACAGGAGAGTTTCCACCACTTCAACCTGGAGTAGCCGGATCTTGAGCTGGCGGTTGGCCCGTCGCCTGTCGTACATCGAAGCACTGTTCCGGCGGTAATTTAGCACTTCCACACTCGGCAGCTAGCTGCGGCTCGTGATCTCCCGGTGGGCCTTCCCGTCCGCGGAGATGGTACGTCCGAGGTACACAAACCGATCTGTCTGCTTGTACGTCTGGCCAGCGGCGCTGACCGCGAACGGGCGTTCCTCGATCCCTTCCGGCAGCATGCACATGATCTCCGTCTTTGGCTCCGATACCATCAGTCCGAACAGGCCGGCCACGCGCACGATGACCGACATCATNACGTTCCTCTATCCCTGTCGGCAGCATGCACATGATCTCCGTCTTTGGCTTCGATACCAACAGTCCGAACAGGGCGGCCACACGTAGTGTACCTCCTCGGGCTTGTGTACCGTTTTCTTGCTAATAATAGTGTGTGCGTTCTTTTGATCTTCTGATGGCTCTAGCATTTTTGTGACCACGGACCGAGTCTTAGCTAGATTTTGGGAATAGCAACTGACACGAGATTAATGTGGAGAAAAACAACAACAGAACAGCAACAACATACAGACAGACGCCGCCACGTCTGGTTTTGTTCGGTGCTCGGTTTCCTATTTTTCTCGGTGGGGAAACAATCTCATCATCTTCCAACTTTGTATCATCGACAACATGAATAGATCGACGGTACCGAAGGGCGGTTGACTGTTGTATGAAAAAAAGTCCAAAGACTTAGTCTAGATCTATACCTAATAAATACACCAATCAATACAAAAAAGAAAGCTCCCGCACTTCGCTTACTTGCGTTGAGCACATCAAATAAATTGGACCAAATCACATCGATGTAAGGAGAACCTAAATGCCTCGGCCAAACGGGCGCTTCCTTTATGTTTTGGCGTGGGGTCCAAGTTGTTGAATCATCACGCTTTTTGAGCTCCTAGCTCCTAGGCGCCCCTCTCTGCTGTATGGAGACCGAACAGCACCAGCATGTATGTTAGGATAATTCGAACTGGGGGTAGCTTGTCGCAAGACGTGTGTTGAATAGGGTATCCACAACTCGGCGGGCGTGCGCCGAGGGGAAAAACTTGTTGTGATTAGACTAGTTGCATCTATTCGACAAAGTTACACCATTCATTAGTCTAGACTAGTCATCGGGATGACTAGTCTAATGGTGTAACTTGGTCGAATAAAAGACATGCTCAGAACTCATTATTTGCACCCGGCCGGATCACATCGTTTGGGTCGTGCCGGATCACATCATCGTTGGGGTCGTGAGTAGAGATCTCCGGGGACGGACCCCTCGCCAGACGCTGCCTGAAAAGAACTTAATGGTGCTTGGGAGAGTGACCAGTCGGGTTTTTAACCTGTGCGTGGATCCTTTATCGCCAACTAACTGTTAAACCATTAGACTAGTTTTTCGAATAGCATCCACATACACGCACAAGCCCCGTTGAGGGGGCGACGCCGTATACAACGGGGGTGCCTTGTACATCCCTGGAATCCATTCTACGTACCACACATGTCACCGGTATTCCGCTCTAACAGATCCTCATTCCATGGGAACATCCAGCACCAACCACTTGGCATTGCTACAAGTATACCCATCAGCCCCCTTGCTTGTGACTATGCCATGTCTTCATGATCTTTCAGTAACTCCAAAACACAAGAAAATAATCCAAAACACAACTCAAATCTGCAGCAATAGCCTTCTGGGCTAGAAATAAATATGTTTCCATCCCAGATCATTCCAATTGCCCCCCATCCTAGAGCACCATTTATTGAGAAGACCATATGCATAGGCAAAAATGTAAAACAAATACCATGAAGTGCTTTTCAGGCAGCGTCTGGCAGGGGTCCGTCCCCGGAGATCCCTGTACTCTCTCAAACCAAAATCCCAGTGACCAGCCGGGTGGCTACGAGCCGAGAGTATATATTTTGGCGCCAAGTGTTCAACCATTAGTAGTCTAGTCACCGCTGACTAGGTAGTCTAATGGATAAGCCTTCTAACGCAGCACTATCAGAACAATTGTTACAGATGCATCGCTATGTATGTGTGATTCGAGTATGCGCCGATTGTTTGCGGTGTCACGTTGTACAGCCTGCATCGTCTGTCGCCCGCTTTCCCGTATGTATGTGCCAAGAGGTGTGTGAGAGAGAGGCGGCGGGCATAATTATGCTACTGCTGCTGTGGTTGCTAGTTGTTACACAGCACGCTGCTTATCACGCATCCATTGTTGGTTGTAGATGTGGCATTTTGGCGACGGGTATATAGTCTAGACTATTGAAATCATTGTGCAGGTGCTGGGTCACCAAACAAACGTTTCTCTACATCGCAGTCATGCCCAGGAGGCAGCTTAACCACCTACAAGCACGTAGTCTACGTCAAAAAAAAAAACTGCATGCGGATAGCGGGTCGAATATGTATGAATGGTTTGGTGGAGAAGTAAGGGTAAAACTGGCAAAACTTGTACTTCATGCAAGTGCTGAGCTTGACGCTGATACGCAGGTTTAAAGGAGGTGTAGCCGTAGACGACAGCTTGCTCCTAGAGGTAGATGACGGTTGTGTCGTTGACACTCTTGTCCACGACCGCTTAGAGATGGGAAAGTTGCTTGTTATTGCTGAGAGACGGTCAGCAAGGGTCTGAGGAGATGAAGTGGGATCCAACTTCATCTCAGGGGGTACAGTACACAGAGTAGACAATTCAAAGGGAGAATAGGTCAGAAGGGTATAACTCCTGACCAATCCACATCATATCAACAAAAAGATGTACCCTATTCATGCCAGCAGCCACACTCCTTAACATTAGCTCAATCCTGAATATCATATATGCGGATTCTACACTCAAATCCTAAGAGCTACATTAAGATTAAGCGAATAATTTTTTATCATGAATCGAATATATGACTCTTCAAAAAACATTCAAGAGGAGGGTAAGTTGTAGAAATATCCCTAATCAACCCCCCACACCATCATTGAGACGAAGGATGCGAACGGTCACGAGACGAACCATCGACATTTCAATGACTACGCTCATACCAATGAAGGGATAAAGCGAGGAAAACATTGCTCCAGAGCACGCCATCCCCAACAAACGACGACAGAGGAAACAAAATCAATACGTTTCACCTACACGAAGAACAGCATAACATTGTAGATTTCAAAGTGAGCGGGAAACAGCCACACTCAAATCTGCAGGACAACTCCAACTGTTGAAATTCAAAAAAACTCAAAAAAAAATTGTGGTGCGTGTAGACTCTATGTACAACAGCCCTACAGCTGTACATACTGTACTCTATTGTATTCACGTCGCCTAAAACAGCAGCGAAGTACTTTCTAAAAACAGCATGTTGTCAAACGACACTGCGCCACGTTCCCTGTGAAGGCCACATTCCACATAAAATAAAGAATATATCCGCCTATACAGATGCTTTTGTTCTTTAGCTCCCACTGGCATCACTGATAGCTCAGTGTTGGGTTTACACAAACTCAATATAAGCCAAGTCTCCAGTTGGTTTCAATCCACTTACTGAAAAGACTTCACCACATCACTTTCGACTGAGGTTATATCTCGAACGGGTAGTCTTTCTGTGAGGTTATGTTTTCTTTCTGAAAAAATCAAAGTCCAAACGCCACTTACCACGTTGTATACGCGCACCTGCGCGTATCACAACTGGAGGAATGAGGTTGACAACA